AGTTAATGTTCTTTTGATGTCGAACACTTTGTTTTGAACTTGCGAGCAATTAATTCCGATTAATTGATTAAATATGTTGAATGGCAACAACCAACTTATGTTGATGGAAAGCATAATTGTGGCCTCTACTTGTCTTTCTCTCAAGTCATCTAATAATGATGCATACGCAAAATAAATTTCTGATGTAAATGTTACAAAGAGATAAACGAAGAATCCAAAGTATAAAAAGCCAAAGGTTTCATTGAACAATCGGATGGCATGAGTTATGTCGTTTTGAATTGCCATCACTTCCTTAATTTTATTTTGAAATGTTCCAAAACTTTCAGAATATCCGTGAAGATTCTGATGACACATTTCGAGATAATTTTTAATTATAATCACAAGAAAGCCGATAAATAAAAGTGAAAGATTGAAATATATGCTAAAAGTCATATAATTTAATGTAGTTAAAATGAGTCTTAAACTTTTAAACTCCTTCGCATAGTAAGAATAGAAAATCGTTAGCAATAAAAAGAATATGAACATTCCTGACAAAAAAACTGAGCAACTGCGTTTTAAATATTTCTTCAAACTTTTCATCGAAGTTTTACTGAACGGCAGTTTTTCTAATTTATCTCCAATTGAATCGAGAATGTTAAGGAATTCTATTGAATTTTCAGTAGCAGAAAACACACCACAAGTATTGATGAACAATGCAAACACGATAACAACTACTTCAACAATGTAACAGAGCCAAGTTATATAAGTTTTGTCATTTAAAAAAATTGAAAATGCGTCAATATTAAATATTGCAGTATAGGAAAACCCAACAGCTAGAATTGAATTCATTAATGTAGCTCGAATTTTCCACTTCCAAGTGTTTTTCCACGGAGGTTTCATTTCAACAGAAAAAAATCCAAAAAAATTCAGGATTTTGATTAAGATTTTTAAATTTTCAAATAACTGAATTAATTGCATGTCTGTCGATTATGACGATTAAATTTAACTTAGCCATTGAGTTGACTTGACTATC